CTGAACTTCAGAAGACATTCCACACTCTTCAATTAAAGTTAAATCGCTATTTTCTTTTTTGTCTTTCTCCAAGCTGAAGGATGCAAAACATAAAATTCTGCAGCTGTTGGAGTAATCCGTCATTTTCATCCAGATGAATGGATTGAGAGAGCAGATAACAGGTCTGATAAACACAAACTGCTGGATGTTTGGAGATAAATTTGTTTTTCCAACAGCTGCCTGACGCTTCAGCACACAGCTGTTGGAAAGTCAATATTAGTCCTGCTTTTCTCTTTTTTTCTGTCCTGCACGCTTCAGCGAACGTATTCTCTTCGGATATAAAATAAGCTTTCTTGCCAGCTGTGGCGTATATTTATGCATCATTTAGACACGTGCGTTTTAGAGCCGCTGGAAAATGTTTGCATGGATGTGGGTCCTCCGCAGGGCGATGAGACGAATGCAAAAACAGGGATGAACGGATCAGAATCTGACAATTCTGTCAAACAGAACCTCATCAGCTTGATTTTAAATCACTCCAAGGATTTCCCAAGAAAGAAAAACATTCACAAACAGTTAATAAGCCAGAACTCAGCGGCACCAATCGGCTGCTTTCTGTCTGGCTTGTAAATGTTTGTCTGGGTCCACAGACTTCCCGCTCCTCAGCAAAACTCCTCCAACACATCCAAGGGGGTTCCTGAACCACCGGCAATAAAATGTCAACTTCCTTTTGTTCATGGCTTTTCTGTGGAGCGTAACTCCAAAATATGCACTGAAAAGTCACCTATTTATAATTATTTTTTAAATATTCAAAGGAAAATTAGGCTTGAGAAGCTGAAATACCTGAACTAGCAAAACAGCCAATTTAGGAAAACTATTTAAATGCTTGACCTCACAAAGCTCCACCCATTTACCCATAGCTCCTCCCCAGCTAAGCTCCGCCCACAGAATGCCCCTCCCCCACATTTCACCATTCAACTAAATCACTTTTGATAACAATATTCAATTCCCTTTGTCATGAAATGATAAAATGTTTCTTGTTGTCATTGTGGACTAGAATTACCGCATCTTTATTCTTTAGACTCTTAAGTGTGATTAATAATAAAATAATTCTTGATTATGTTGATGATCATAATCATCAACTGAAGTCTTGACTTCACTGTTGATCCTAAATAAATCAGAAATAATAACAAATCTCTCTATGCTTTTGTTTCTCAGTCCTTCACATCTGATTTTTGGTTTGTGAATATTAATACACACACATTAATACACACACACACACAGATACACCCCATCCTTACTCGTCTCTGCTCCCCCTACACCAGTGATACATGTCCATCTCCATGGCAACAGTCAAAAAGCGTTATGTCATAACTTAGAGTGGAGTTGTGCAGGATTTACTTCTTTTTTTTTTTCTTTCACTCTCAATCCTTGACACACGCGTCGGAAAGTTTCCCTCCCCCTCGGCGCTCCGGCAGAGCACACGGAGCCTCGGCGGCGTTACGTAACAGTCCCGTCCGCTTACCGAGAGGCGATGACATCATCAGCCATCACAGAGATGATGGGCTGGGCAGCGGTTGAAAACATTAGGAGGGATGAATATCCTAACCCTCCAGCTCCTTCAGTTTCATTTTTATGGCCCATGTGTGAATATAAGATTTAAATTTTCCTTTAGTGAATGATTGTCTTATTTTCTTTGTTCTTAGCTCAGTTTGACTTCTTTGCAAAAATGAAAAAACTTGTGTTTGTTTGCTGTTTATCCTTCATGACCCTGAACCAAAGTCAGGCTCTTCCTCTTTATTTTTCTTGAATAAATTGAAGCTGTGAATCTCCAGAGAGGCTGGAAGGTTTGATCCCTCTGCAGTCTGAACATGATCTCTAGTCCAGTTCCTCTTCCTGCTCTGCCACTCGGTCCTTCATGCAACATGAAGCAGAACAGTCCAGAGCCATCGTCGTCTGAGGGGAAATCTTCTGGACTCCTGGTGCCTTTGAGCTACCTCAGCAACCTCTGCCAGATCGCTAACCTCGGCCTCCTCGGTGCGGGACGCGGCGCGTCGTTTGATGGGAACAGTTTTGTTCCTCTCCTTTCTGTTGTAGAGTCTGCGTAAAGCAGAAGCCAAGGTGCAGCAGACGTCAGAGGCTGAATAGGAGTGATCCAACAGAGACGAGGCCATGCTGCATCCTGATTGGGCGCTTGTCCTCTGTGGCTCACAGCGGCTCTGCTAAATGAGGCTGGGATGATGCTGGCAGCAGCGAACACGTTCCCCTGTGAACCGACGCCTGATTGCTGATTGATACATTGACGGCAGCTGATTGTGCGTCATGAGGAAGGAGGAGAACAGGAAACGATCTCGCTGTTCTTGTTTGAGTTTGTTTCAGGGAGTTCTGAGTTGGTTGCTTCAGGCAGCAGGAGTCATTACCAGCCGCTGAAGCTTCAACCCAGTGACCCCATTCACAACTGGACTGATTACTAATTAAAAAACTCTCCAAACACTCTGATATGTCAGCAGGAAGACAGAAGGAATATTGTCAGCTGAACTGCTGTGTTTTAGTAGCATCTTTAGCTCTGGAAGGCCTCATCCATCCCTCCCTCTCTCCTTTCTCCTACCATGAATAATCCACAGACATCGTGTATTTCCTCCGGTCTCCAAACATCATCCATAATGCACCACATCTCGGCTTCGCCTCTGCTTGTTCTACATTGCCTAACATCACTAAGTGTTTGTCCTGGCAGCTGTGGCTGCAGCGTTGCAGTGACCCCCTTTTCATTCTGGGGACAGCAGCCTTTCTCCGTCTGCCTCCCGGAAACACTCACTCCATTCTGACCTGCTCATGTTTAAATACATATTATTTCCTAAAAAATCTGTCTAATCTGAGATTAAATGGTTCAGTTAAAGAACAGAATTCTGCTGCAAAGCGAGCTCTGGTTGCTGGAGGTTGTAAGGTAAGGTAATTTTATTTATATAGCACATTTTCAGCAACAAGGTAATTGTTGCTGAAAACAATTAGAGAATACTGCGCTTTGCAAACGTTTTCATACCTACTGAACAGTTTGTCACATAATAACCATTAACTTCAGTGTGTTTCATGTGAGAACAAGAAAAAGCATTGCATAGTTGTAAAGTAGAAAAACGACACATTGAATTAGCAATAACATACAATAAAACTGAAACTGAGTGGAAGAATCAAAAGAATCACCATCTGCAAACACAAATAAGGAGTTTTCTGAAATCTCCACTTTGGACACCAGTCACATAAAGAAGTGTGGTTTGTATCACTGAACTGCACACATTTATTAATATGTTTGAATTCATTGATATTTATTGATACGCTCAATGAACAAACAGTGGGAAAAATAGCAATCACAATGATACAGACTGTTTTGGGGGGTTTAAACATCATTAATGGTGACGACAAATTAAAATTCTTATCACGATACGAGTTTTATCATGATAAATGATACGATAAATGCCCAGCCCTTCCTGCAATCAGAGGGAGTTTATGTAGGAACACATAAACTGTTGCGTCTGACTCGGTGAAGTGGAACCTGTCAGTGTTGATGTGTAAAAACGCCTTAAATCTGCAGCTCTTCTCCATCCCTCTGGCTGATCTCCGCCGGGACTCTGGGCTTCACGCTTTTTGGAGACATGATGAGCTCTTTGGGGTTTCGCTTCTTAGTGGGATTTTTCCTGAGTGTTGAGCTGAATTTTGCTTCTTGACTTGGAGCCTAAATCTGTGATGTGCTTGTTTGTTTGCCAGCCTGGTATCTGGGCTGGATGGAGCTCACACCAGCTCCTAGCAGTTAATATTAAACACATCCAGCTGTCACCTTTAGATGACTGTGTGCTCTGTGGCTTTTTACAAGCTGCTCTGGGTTGTTTCAGGCTTGTGAAGTCTTCAGCAGAACATAAAGCTGAGGAGGGCTGCAGAAAGTTGGAAATGTGGGAGAAGAAGGCAGTGGGAAAGTTGTAAACTATTATTTCTGTTTCATGTTGGAACTGAAGATCCATGAAAATGGAGGTGAAATAAAAAAAGCTCTACACACAAACAGATTTCTCCTTTCAGTCTCATCAAAGGTTGATTACATTCACCTTATGGGCTTTTAATGTTCCAGAAAGAACCCGGTGTTCCTTCACAGCCTGTAAAACGCTGGAATGTTTGCAGTTAGATTATTTTCCAGATCAACGCAAATAAGAAAGAAGAAAATAAAATGTATGGAAACATCCATCCATCCTTCCTTCCTTCTAGTGCTGGGTCTGTCGCAGACGTTTCGGGTGTTTGTAGTGAATGACGGGAGCCGGCTCCTCGCTCAGGGCCGGTTTTACTATGAGGGAGGGGCTACGAACACATCAGCACAGCGAGCCACAGCTAACAGGACGGAGGGAGAAAGCGGACATTTTTCTCCATGTTGCTGCTCAGCTCTCACTCTCAGTGGCTCCGCCCTGCCACGTTCTGATTGGTAGCATGACAGCTTTGTGGCCAATCACATGTGAGGATGTGGGATCATACCATTATGTGAAAACAGAAGGGGGGCAAACCTGGCAGCTTTTTACTCATTTGTTGAATAAAAATTAAAAGTTGACTGAAATATTATTCAAAAGTAAAAATGCCTGCTTCTATAACTGAAAAAATACATATTCCTTCCTTCCTTTGTTCCTTCCTTCCTTCTTTCCTTCCTTCCTTCCTTTCTTTGTTCCTTCCTTCTTTCCTTCCTTCCTTTTTTCCACATTTCAATGTCAAACTTCAAATTTGGAGTCATACAGTCTGAAGAATGATCTGGTTTTCCAATCCAGATTTAACAGGAATAAAAATCTTTGCCTGTTCCAAACATTTGTTTTCACTGCTAATTAACTTCATTTATTTTTATTAACTATATAATAAGATCCCTCCTAGTTTCTCCCAGGATTTTTGTTGTTCCTTCCTGTATTATTCTTCCACAGAGAAACCTGTTTCCTGTTCCTTACTCTCAGGCTTGTTTTAGGGAAACGTTTTCTGTTCTAACTGCAGGTTTCTGTCTCTTCCAGCTGTACACGAGTTTCCAACCGACTTCTTCACAAACAAGGAGAGAACTGAAGGAGCCGTGGCTCTGCATGTGCTCTGTGTAAGTCCAATTTCATTAGCATGAGCTAACAATAAAAGCAAACTTTTGGCAGTTTGTTTTGTTTGGTTGAATGAGGGAATGAAGGAATTCTTTTGTTTTTCATTCAGTGAGTTTTTTTTCATTAGGAGGAATGAAATAGAAATTTAAGTGAACATAAATAGAAAATAGTTATAAAAAAGATTTTGTATAATAAAAGCAAAGTCTTAACTGCAGCTAAGCATCTTAGCAGGTTGAGGTCTTTTGTAGAATAGATTTTACTGTAAGATTTTATTTTATTTCTTGCTCTAAAATCCAGAGAATAGAAATACAACACTGTTTCTTAAATGTAACCATAAAACATACATTTTACAGTTTATTTAGTAAAACTGCAAACATTATTTTCCGTTCTTTGAATGTTGTGTTACAGTAGTTACAATTTGATGCTACGAGTTTAGTCTTTGTGTTTGATCTCGGTTTCTTCACAAATTATTTCTGATCACTTTTAAAGTCGTCCCGTTAAGCTCCGCCCCTTTCCCAGATTCCACCAAATCTGAACGTAAACGCTGTCAGTGGCGCCTGAACAGGCTCAAGGCCCGATAAATCCTTTCTGTGAAAGTCCAGTGTGTTTTTAAAACTTGGTTTAAACTTGGTTTACTAGTCTGTAACATATTTTTATTCATGTAAGCTTTATTTATTCCTCGTTTTTAGAGCTTGATTTGTTATCAGTTTGTACCTTCATCTTCACTCTGTTGCTTTTTTGAGTTGATAGGTGATCTAAATCCTCATATTCTGGGTTCTGCCTGCTTTCTGTTGGTTCAGACATTAAGATCAGGAGGAATGTGAAGAGTAAGACTGGTTTCCCTGTAAGGCAGAAGTTTCTGTGTTTATGCAGAAAACTTGGGATGCATTTAAAGCTCCTCTTTCCTGTGGAGTTTCCTCAAGGATTAACTCTTGGCCCTTTCTTTTTTTGTTTTATCTTCTCCTTTTAGGGTTGATGGGTTTTAAACTTCACTTGGATCATTTTTATTATAAGGTCTTTGTTTACTGGCAGTGTGTTTTTCCAGTTTGCAAACCGTGTTGACAGCTCTGCTTGCACCTACTGAGTCACTTTATTACTGTTAATCACACAGTAGCCGTGCAAATCCTCTGCCTGTTAAACTCCAGATCCCTAAAATAAAAAAAACAATCCGCCTTTCTGACCAATCAGAAGCAGGCTGTGTATAAGTGTGCTTGGCGGGTTTCTCTCCACCTGCAGCTGCTCGTCTCCAGTGAAAACCAAACAGCACCTGGAATGCTTGCATCCCTGCTAATTTAGTGGATGAAGATGGAAACAAACAGGCATTTAAAGCCATGGAAAATAACATAAATGTGAACAGATGCCACATCGCTGCGCAGCTCATGTGGCCTGAATAACGCAGCATTTGCTGCAGCATATGGTCTTTGTTCAGGGATTTTGACTCAAACACTGGATTGAATCCAGATGCTTCCATTTTTCTAAAGCTGCTATTAAGAGATTTTAATAAAGACGTTTATCCATTTGTTTCTAGAATTAAAATAAAGAGAACAGATAATCTCTGAAATGTAATGTTCTGCCTTCTTCGCGGCTGAAATTCAGAACATTAAAGTCGCCTTCAGCTGTTTTCACTCATAAAGCAGACAAAAAATCAGACGGTGTGCAGCCACTCATCGTGGTATGACTAGTGTTTCTGCTATCTGACCCAAACTGGTGAAAGAAAACTGCTGAGGATGTTCAGGAAAAACTCAGGAAATGCTGATAAACTGGAAACTTTTGTAGAAGTTAATCCTTTCTCCAGAAGCTCCACCTTTAAACTCGACTGACATTTTCAGCTGAATGCAGTCTGAAGAGAAGCTTCTGAGACATTTGGCCAAACAAGAAGACTGTTTGGATGAGTCAAGATTAGGCTTCAAAGAGAAGAGCCAACTGTCAGGCATGGTGGTGGTGGTATCATCCTGAGGACTTGTTTAAGTCTACTGAAACTGATGCATTGCTGAAAGTGGATGCATTGGAAGGAATTAAGGGAGAACCTAATAATCAGATTAATCATCATTAATTGGTTATTGAAATAATCGTTAACTTGTGTATATAAACTCCAAAAAGGTCAATTTGCTGAAACAATGATCTCAGAGCCGTAATTAAACCAAAGCTGTACAAAAAAAATACAAACATTTGCATTTAAAATTAAATTATATTTATATTCTACTGAAAACTCATCAAGTTGCAGTTTTAGCTTCAAATAGTGTAAAATAAAAAATCTCCTATTGAGCGCCTTTTGCTTTCCAATTATTAAATTGGCTAATTGAAAAAAAATGACCAACAGGTCGTCCCTGCAGTGTACTGATGTGAAGTCAGGCAGAAAGGTCTGAGCTTTTCACATGTTGATGTTAGAAGTATTTTTGCTACAAATGATCCAGTGTTTGATAATGGAATGTTTATTTTATTATTTAAGAAATGAATTGAATCATTCTATTTGCATATGCTTATGTATTTCTACTGTTGTATGACAAACCAATTTTTTATCTGATTAATCATCAGAATAATCAATTAACCTGAACTTCACTGAAAATATGAAATCTATGCTTAAAACCTGAATCATCAGCTGGAAACTAAACTGTTTAAATGAACATCTGACCAGAATGATGCCAGACATTTGTTGATGCCAACAACAAAAGGTTTGGTCAAGTAGAAACTTTTTAAAGGGACATTTGACCAAATATTAGAGGAAAAAACACAAAAGCAGCACAAAGACTGAAATAAATCTTCAAAAGCTCCAAATTAAGATCAGATGCAGCATCTCTGACTGGTCATGAAGTCTTTGATCTGAGGATCACATGCTTGACTCTCACACACATCTCACTGAGAGGTTCAGCTGTGTTTTCAAACCTGATGACTCTTCATTTCTCACTAAAGTGACTCACAGCTAAACACAGTTAGCAACGTTCCTGTAAACAGCCTGTGAGCTTCTTACTGTCATGTGTGGAAATGTAGAGATTCCTTTGTTCACATTTCATGTCACTAAAACATTCCACAGGATTTCTACTTCCTCATCATCTGACGTTTATCAGTGAGTCCAGGATGGATGGATGGATGGATGGATGGATGGATGGATGGGTTGGTGGATGGATGGATGGATGGACGGACGGATGGATGATGGATGGATGGATGGATGGGTTGGTGGATGGATGGATGGACGGACGGATGGATGGATTGGTGGATGGATGGATGGATGGATGGATGGATGGATGGATGGATGGATGGATTGGTGGATGGATGGATGGATGGACGGATGGATGGATTGGTGGATGGATGGATGGATGGATGGATGGGTTGGTGGATGGATGGATGGATGGATGGATGGATGGGTTGGTGGATGGATGGATGGATGGATGGATGGATGGATGGATGGATGGATGGATGGATGATGGATGGACCGACGGATGATGGATAGATAGATTTCTCAGTAGCTCCCCCTGCTGGGCTCTTTAAACTCGGAGCTCAGCTCCTTATTTGAACAGATCGTAGTTCTGTTGCTCATTCAGTTTTATTGATCCATGAACGATGAACTTCTCTTAACTGGTATGAAATCAGATCAGTGACTCATCAGCCTCACTGATTAATTACAGTAACAGCAGGAATCTAAACGTTTTTCTCCACTGAAACATTCAGAGCAAAGGTTTCTGAATATGATAAATATGACCATTATAAAGCACCAGCTGATGAATCAGAGGCTTCCTCAGACAGACTGCTATGGAGCTCGTCTTCATCAGGACTTCTCACCCGGCTTCACGTGGATGAATCACATCTCACATGCTTCTCACGCTTCGCTTCTTCCTGTAATATTTATCTCTCATCGCAGACCGTCTACATGTTCTGCGCTCTGGCGCTGGTCTGCGATGACTACTTCGTCCCTTCCCTGGAGAAGATCTGTGAGGTATGAGGCAGCAACACTTTGTCACACAGCTCCGATGTGGAAGAAAGTTTGTCACTTGTTAAAATAACTGAGAAACTCTGGATTTTTCTTTCTTAAATCTAAAGGAATTTGGATTCTAAATTTAGATTTAAGGCGATCTTGAGAGATCATTTTCCATGTTTTCTACAGATTTCTAGAAATTAGTAAAAACACTGCTGAAGCCCTAAAAGAAAAATTTGAAAGATCTTTACAACTTCAGGGAGAGACGGATCGGATGGACAGATTTTTGATCAGCTGGGTCTCTTTGAAGATTAAAAACATCTCCAAAGACACCAGAAGATCAAATACATTTATCTCCTTTTTCTTTTGGTTTTCACTTTGGGTTTCCACCACCTGGTTTTCTCCAGCAGTGTCAGACTCATAAAACCCCGTACTGCTGCTCGTTGGCGCAGGACTGAGCTCCTGTTAGATTTCATCAGAAGAGTTGAAGCTGCAGCTGTTTTTTCCTAACGCTGCCTTTTGTCCTGTGTTCCCTCAGCGCCTCCATCTGAGCGAGGACGTGGCAGGAGCGACCTTCATGGCAGCTGGCAGCTCGGCTCCAGAGCTCTTCACCTCTATAATCGGTAACATCAGGGAGGTCCAAACCTCCATGGACCGCCACACACTCTGCAGCGTCTCCTGGCTTTAGCTCCACATTAACCTTGTCTTATGTAACGACATTCACTGATGGCGTCTGATGTGTCTGACTTAGAAACGACAGAGAGCTAAGAGTCCCTGACCTCGTGTTCAAAGAGACGAGTTCTTATGGTTTGTTTATGGAGAATAGTTCTGGGAAATCTTTTGTCCCACTCATCTCTCCCAGCTTCATTCATTAAAGGATTGTCTGGACTTTGTGTCCCTAAAACAGGAGAGTCTAATCCACAAAGCCCTCGTCAAGTTAATAACTTTTCATGCTCGTACTTTTGACCACATTTAAATGATTAAAAACTGTGTACAACACAGAACAACACTTAAAACTATTAAATCTTTCACTGAGTGATACAATCTCACAGAAAAATGCAGTAAGATCCAGTGCTTGATTTGTTAATAAGTTATATGTTAGACTTTAAATGTTTTCCTGTAACATTATTTCACATTATAAGGAAGTTTATTTATAGGTTTTTTACTCATGTTTCTACGGAAGCCCTGAAGAACCAATTTTTTAAATTGACTCAGTTTTCAACAACTTTAGAGGTCATCTGCACGCAAAAATAATTTCATCTATCCATTTTCTTATGGCCGTCGGTGCCAACGAGTGAGAGGTGGGGTCACCCTGGACAGGTCGCCAGTCTGCAACATACAGACAGACAGGACAAACAACCATGCACACACACACACACACACACACACACACACACACACACACACACACACACACTAACACCTAAGGAGAATTTGGACAAACCAATCAACCTGACAGTCATGTGTTTGGACTGTGGGAGGAAACCGGAGAGAACCCAGCATGCACAGTGAGAACATGCAAACTCCATGCAGAAAGACCCCGGGCCGGGAATCAAACCTTCCTGCTGCAAGGCAACAGTTCTACCAATGCTCCACTGTGCAGCCTGCAAAAATAATTTTCTAGATTAAAATATTTTAAAGTTTTTTAGGTTGTTTTTTTCCTTGTGGAACGTTGTTTCTGAACGGGGAAATAACTGTGACACACAAACGTTGACCAGCCGTGCTTCTCCATGAATCCTGCTGCAGTCGTTCATGTTTCTGCCTCCTCAGGCGTGTTCATCACCAAAGGAGACGTCGGGGTCGGCACCATCGTGGGCTCCGCCGTCTTCAACATCCTCTGCATCATCGGCGTGTGCGGCTTCTTCGCTGGCCAGGTAGGACCTCACTGCTGAGCCGGTGGCGTTAGATAAGGGGAGTTAAGAAAGATTCAATCAAAGGTAGGATGTTTATATATTACTGATGTGACCTTTAGAAGAGCTATAGCTTGAAATCAAAGACGGTGGCAGCAGTACAATAGAAGTAAGAAATACTGCCACCTACAGGTGGTTGGTTTGTCTTCAGTGTAATAAAAGAATAAACAAAGTTAAGTACAAAGTACATTTCTAATACAAGCAAAACAACCAAAAGAAGAACAGTAGCAAAGTATATTGATTCATCCAAACTCAACCAGTTCTGTGGAAAATTATTCATCTGTGTGAAAACATGCAGGATTCTGTTGATTTTGTGTGAATTTCTGTGATTTGTGAAAAACTTTAGTGACTGATTTGATGAGATTTCTGGGAAGATAAATGACTATATAGAAAAATGAGCTCATTTCCAGATTGATAAGCAGTTAGTTACTCCTCTAAGGCCGACATGTTTCTGCCCTGCCATTGTGTTCAAACACACCTGTTTGCTCCAGACAATCAAACCAACAAATCGTCTGCTGTTACAGATTCCTGTCGCTCAGCTGTGTGGTCCTTTAGTTTCTGTAAAAGTCGGGATTTGTTCCACTTTGCTGCTGCGTTTCAGCACAACTCTGATCATTTTAATACAGACACCGTAAAGCTGCTTGCTTTTGATCATCTCGGGTTCCACATAATGAGGATCATGTTAATATTTTTGAAGTCCTGATGCATAAACATGTGGTATTGTAGGAGATTTTATCATTTTTTAGCCCGACTACCTGCCTTGCATGAGAAGTTTGCCCGGAGCAGCTTCTCTCTGATGCCATCTGACGCGCCACTGATACGGAAATGAGTTGAGCTCAAGGATAAGCTCTCTGCTCTTAAAAGTATATCTGAACTGCAAGCAGTGATGCGACCGATTGCATATTATGTAATTGTGCTGAGATAATGACCGTCTAATGGAGCAGGGCCGGTTCGGTTCAGATCCAGGTTCTCCCCTGCTGTCTGCTCTCCTCTCATGTCGGTTTCTCTGCAGACTCTTCTGTGCTATAAAATGCAATGAAAGCACATTGAAGCTTTATTATTATTGTTCTTCCTCGACCTGTGATTTCCCAGCTGGGCGTGGAAGGTTCAAAATGTGATGTTTTTCCCCTCCTCTGATTCGCTGTGTGGAAGATTTATCCGCTTCATTGTTTGCTCCTGTGTCCTGTTGGGCTGCAAAAGGTCAACAAACTCACCGGCACGCCAATGATTCAGAGCGGGTGGCTTTTACAGTGGCGGTGCTTTCGGAGGTCAACGTAAATCTCCAATATGTCATCAGGTGCAGGAACAGAAGAATCAAATACAAGAAAATTTATTTTTGTAATTCCAATTTGCACAATTATGTAGCCAATGGAAGCACAGCCAATGAGACACAGTCGGACAAATTGGGATGATTACAGGAGGGGATTCTGAGGCACGATTTGTAAAGTTACTGTAAAGATGAACAGCAATAATTTGGGTTATTTAATCTATCAGAGAACATAAAACTAGTGCTTCATTTTTCAGTCTTATTTTCACCGTGTTTATTCATTTATAAATGTCACTGTTTCAAACTAAATTTGAAGTTAGAAAGCTCAATGTTTAGTAAACTAGCTCCGTATTTAGCGTCATTTCAGTTTGAGGTAAGACACAGGTAGACCCAGGATGAAGATGATGATGGTTTTAATAATGAAATCCACGGAACAGAACAAGACGAGCTCAGATATACACACGACGGTACAGGGAAACAGGCTGGTTACACACGAAGCACGACGGGGATCCGACAAGACAAAGACAAGAAGTGGGACCAAATACACTGGGAGGGTAATCAAAGAAACGAGACACAGCTGGGATCAATCAACAGGGAAGACAGAGACTCACAGGGGAACAGGCTAATAAACACAGAAAAACCTCAAAATAAATACGCAGAAAACACAGATCACAACATAAATCAGACAATGAGCCGTTTTACGGCAGCACAGACGTTTATAACTGTGACATTTATAAACGAGTGAATAAGCTTGTGAAAATATGACCCCCATTTTTTTCTCTAAGTTCTAAAACAAATTTTTTGGCCTGAACCATAATGTGATAAATTCTTTCTTTTTTCACAAATCTGTCCATAAGCTGCTTTATAAACAGACAGGATATGAGAGTTTCTGCAGGTCTAAATCCAAACTGAATCCTTCACTTCGTTCCACCATTCTAACTCTCACCCTGTGCTGTTATATTGACACAGCCGTTTTAAAAATCATAATTATAAATATAAGCTACTGAACATTAAACAGACAACGCCCAGAACAAACCCAGACTTTGCTGCTGCGCTCACAGGAGGTTTTCTAAGAACTCGTCCATGTGCTTAGATTTCATACCAAACATGTTTTCTCTACAAACCGTGATGCAGACAGAGTCCGTCAGGTGAGCTGGTGATCCTTCAGCATCGTCCGTTACACGGCTGGTTTTACTCTGCAGTAACAATTTAACCACAGGATGGGTCATAGTAACCAGATGTAAGGGCTTCCTGAAACATATGAGAAAAACATATCATACTCAAAATCTCAATGAACGTTTTAAATTTACAATAAATATCTGTTTTGTCATTTAAAGTTGACTTAAACTTGTTAAAAGTCTAAGACAGTGAAATGTTTAATGTGAATGAACCATGTGACTATAGGATTTCTCTATAAGATGTTTCAAACGTTCTCGTCACTGTGGTTTCTCTTCCCAGGCTGTGAAGCTGTCTTACTGGGCTCTGCTCAGAGACTCCATCTATTACACATTTTCCATCATAGCACTGATTGTGGTAAGATCTTTTTCTGTGGATTCTTGTAGACACACCTGGTTAATCTGGAAACATAGCAGCAGAACCTTTAGACTGTTTCATTTCTGAAACTGGGATTACTGGGATTCTGTAATCTGAAGCAGGTTTGATGTTTTCACAGCTGGATTATACAGGAAGCAATAGATACACTATAAACAAATACTTTGACTTGTCTCTAAAACGCTACATTGTTGTCCCTTTGTCTCCCCTGCTTAGTTCATCTATGATGAGAAGGTGTGCTGGTGCGTATCATATTCACTCTGCAACTAGAATTACACTGACGGACGGTTTGTAAATGTCTAACTGTCATGTTTGCAGGTGGGAATCTCTTGTTCTGATCCTCATGTATGCCGTCTACATCCTCATCATGAAGTGAGTGTCATTAACCTGTCATTCACAGGTTGTCATTCACAATGACAGGGGTGTCAAACTCCAGTCCTCTGCTGTCCTGCAGTGTTTAGATGTGCCACAGGTAAAAAACGGTGGAATGAAATGGCTTAATTACCTCCTCCCTATGTAGATCGGTTCTCCTGAGCCTTGCTAATGACCTAATTATTCTTTTCAGGTGTGGTGCAGCAGAGGCACATCTAAAAGTTGCAGGAAGAGGCCCTTGAGGACTGGAGTTTGACACCCCTGTCACGAGAGGACCCAGATTTGGGTCCTCTCGTGAATGACAGGTTAAAGCTGCAGCAGCTCCATGAACTGATTTTTTATGGTAAATATTGGATCGTGTGTCATGTTTTAGGTTTAACGGAAAGGCTCATCAGTACTTCAGCCGGAGGAAGAAAGGTTCTGGGAACCTGGCGAATGGGCTGACAGGAAGTACGGATCTGGAGGACAACGTCTCGTACGACGCAACGGCAGTTCTGCTGAAGAAAGGTACCAGAGTTGATCTGCAGAAGCTTTTCTGTCTACAACTTAAGACTTCTGAGGATTCCTAAAGTTTTATCACGTACAGCAGAGTAAATAATAATCTGTGTTCATGCTGGCTGTGCTTTAAATAGTATCCCACCCAGAAAAATTAGCTGCAGTATTATTGCAAATAAATAACACATTTCAAAAATTTAAATTTGAAAGAAAAAAAATGCATTTTGAAAAAGAAACTTTGTTGTGAACGTAGCTTACAGTGTTTGCAATAGTTGAACCTACATGTATGCAATTTGCTATTTTTACTGATTTTATTTTTAAAATAATTTTAAGATTTTATTTTTATTCTTTTTTTCAGATTAATTTTTTTCAAATTATTTTGAGATTTCATTTTAATAATTATTTTTAAAGATTATTTAAAAATGTTATTTTTATTATTATTTTTCAGATTGATTTTATTTTATCAAAAGCAAAATTAAAACATTTTTTAGAATTTTTTTCTGATTTCATTTAAATAAAATAAAATAAATTAAGACTTAGTGGAACAAATTGCAACCCCGACACTGACCAACAAAAACGCTGCAAAATGTGTGAAACAAAATGTGTAAAACGTAAAAACAATTTGTTAAACTGAATCTCAAAATGGTTTTGGAAAAAACTGTAGTCTGAAAAAATTATTTGAAACAAGGATGCTCATCAACATAGAACAAACTGTTTATTATTGCAAACATTGTTCTCTCCAAATGTTTTATTTTTTAGTTAAGTTTTTTAAAGTTTCTTCTTGAAATGCATTTTCTTATTTCTATTATAAAAACATGTTGCAAACATATTGGAATAAATTTCTCTCCATACAGAAAGTACGGTAAACTGACTTGAAATAAGTGCCATGTTTATAAGCTCTATAGATCAGGACCAGTTTATTCACCAGTTTTGTGATACATGTTATAAAAACCAGCCATAATCTGCTGGAGGGATTATTTTATGCTAGTTTTCATGAATTCAGCAGTTAGACTGTTTGTGTTCTTTGCAGCTAACTTCCACTGTCCGCCGTCGGTGCTGATGGTGGATGAGCTGCTCTCCGCGTACCCCCACCAGCTGACCTTCTCTGAGGCCGGCATGAGGATCATGATCACCAGTCACTTCTCCCCAAGGACTCGCCTCACCATGGCGTCCCGCATGCTCATCAACGAGGTAAGAAAGACCGCAGCTGAACTACAATACGGCAGGATCTGGGCAGGAGTCATATATTGTCATCTGTGTTGATGTTCCAGAGACAGAGGCTGATCAACACCACAGAGACTCGGGTTAACTGCATCACCAACGGCGACTCGGACTCCGCCACCCGAGGTCTGGGGAGGCGGGGCCTAGAGAACGGGATGGGCGGAGCTGAGCAGGGCTTCAACGGGAGGCTGCAGCGGCTGGAGTCAGGCAACGAGACGGAAAACGAGGACAACGAAAACAACGAGAACGACGAGGAAGGAGAGGGAGAAGAGGACAACGAAGGGCCGCTGGTGCCATTTAAAGTCCCAGGTACCAAGCTGGACCCAAATGACACTAACACAACCACTGCCACAGAACAACAGTAAAGATCAATCACAAATTTACATGCAGTCTTTCTGGGTGTAGTTTTCATTTCCTGTGCATGTGTGGATCCTGTGCATGTGTGGATCCTCGCCGGCTTCCTACCCCAGACCAAAAACATGACTGCCAGGTCAGTAGGTCTTTCTTTCACTAACCCTAACTGTGTAATCCTCCAGCGGGCGTCTGTAACAAACTGAAGTGGCTGCTGATGTGGCCGCTGTCGCTGGTATTCTTCTTCACCATCCCAAACTGCGCCAAGCGGCGCTGGGAGCGATGGTTCATGGTCTCCTTCTTTACCGCCACCATCTGGATCGCTGGCCTCTCCTACATCATGGTCTGGATGGTGAGTTAATCCACACAGAGCAGACCACCGGCTCAACGTTAGACACACAGATTTACTCAGATCGGCTGCTTTCCCGGTGTAATCTCAGCATGTTGCACTGGTTTGAGGTCAGGGCTCTCAGGAACATCAAGGTCATCCTTCCCTGGGATGTTTCAAACATCTGGATGCTAATTTGATGATGTTTCAGAGTCTTTGCAGTTTTCTTGGTTTGAAAACCTCAAACATGATTCATGCCTCTCAGTCGTTCTCTCATCTAAACATAAAACTTTTTTTCAGAAGACATTCGCCTCGTCCAGGTGGGAAGCTGTGAATTTCAGTCAAGCTTGAACGTGTTTGATTTGAAGCAGGGGTTTCTTCCTTGGTTGGTGCCCTCCCAGTTCATGGTAATGGGAAACTGGCTGTTGAAACTGGCACTCCACAAGTTTCCAGTGTATTGCAGGCTTAGTTATTGGGTTGTTCCTGAACATCTTAACCAATATTTTTTAATACAAGGCCATAAAATGTGGTTTAGATGATTGAAAATTGGATGTAATCTGGTCCAACTAGAAAATGATCCCAAACATTCATCAAAACTGGTTTTCAAATGGACAAATTGGGCTTCAGCGGCAGCTTTGCCAAAACACTGAGTTCAACCTTTCTGAGGTTTGTGGATAAACTTAACAGCCAAAGCCTTGCCAAGAAATGAACTCTGCTGATTCTGCCAAGAAGGGAATTGAAGGAAATATCCAGCCAGGATTATAACACAGGACAAGTAAAGTCTGTCAGGAGGTTCTGATGAAGCATTTCTTCAGGAAATTATCAAACCTGCAGAAGACGGGCCCTGATGTATGACAGAAGAATAGGGACAGAAGAAGAGATTTGCTTATAAATTACAAGAATAATGTAATAATATTAGTAGAACAAAGGCACAATATTACCAGAAAAAAGATGGAAAATCATGAGAATATTTTTTTAATGAGAGCAAAGTTTTGATAAAGTTACAAGATCTTTATTCTGGAAATATTATTACTTTATTCTCATATTACTACAATTTTATTTTTGTGTTATTCCAACTTTATTCTCGTTTTATTATATCTTTATTCTCCCATAATTACTACTTTATCTTGTTTTATTACAACTTTATTCTCAAAGTGAAGCAAAAGTAAATTCATCTCGGCAGACCTGAACCCTTACAGGCCGTTTCTCAACAGCAGGGAGCAGAGAAACCCTGGAGGTCTTGAAAGTGATTTCCAGCTAACGACTCTGGGACGTTCTTTGTGTTTCTGCTTCCAGGTGACTGTGATCGGCTTCACTCTCGGCATTCCTGATGTCATCATGGGAATCACCTTCCTGGCGGCCGGCACCAGCGTCCCAGACTGCATGGCCAGCGTGATCGTGGCCCGCCAAGGTAGGAACCCCTGAAGGAGCCGTGCTGCTCATCAGCCAGGCTGTTGCTCTGCTGCCTGTTTCTGTGTTTTGATGCCTGCGGCTGTTTCCCTCTGGGATGTGAATAAAACTGAAACCGAATGTCTCAGGTTTGGGAGACATGGCCATCTCCAACTCCATCGGCAGCAACGTGTTCGACATCCTGGTGGGTCTGGGGCTTCCCTGGGCGCTGCAGACGCTCTGCATCGACTACGGCTCCAACGTGAGTGTTTGTGGCCCAGAATCACACTGGATCGGATCAGAACAGATCAGGAGGAGTTTTCTTTAACATTCACGCTCATTCAAACCATTTTGTGTAACGTTTGTCCCCTCAGGTCCATCTGAACAGCAGAGGACTCATTTTCTCTGTAGGAATTTTACTCGCCTCAGTGTTCTTTACAGTAAGTCTATGTTTTTCATTTTTATGCATTATTTTAGGGGAGCATTCCTTTTTTTTATTGACTAAGCTACAAGTTTTTTATTTTTGCAGAATATTATTTGCTCTCTCCAGGCTTTAGCTAAATTACAACCCCCAACATGAATGTCAAAAAGAATATAAAATAGTCCCAGGTTATTATGGAAATCCAGTTTTGCGCTAATTCATAACTGTGAGTTTATCGGAAATGTTCTGCTAAAATGGTAAAAAAAATAAAATAAAATGTTGGGAGTAAGAGACTGCGACAGACTGGCGACCTGTCCAGGATGTACCCCGCCTCTCGCCCGGAACGTTAGCTGGAGATAGGCACCAGCACCCCTCCCGACCCCACTGAGGGACAAGGGTGTTCAGAAAATGGATGGATGGATGGAGTAAGAGACTTCTAGCTCCCACCTGCAGATGGCAGCATTTCCTTCATATCTGCTACACTGCTGCCTCAGCTTTACTTGATATCAAGTGATAGTTTTTGATCGATGTGGCGAGCAGCGAAAAGTCATGTTTACTGTCAGACAAAAGCATAAAGGACTGGGCAAAGCAGATATCGCAAAATTCCTTCGACATATTTCTAAACACAACAGAAAGAATGATTTTGATTACAAAAAACCAAACACACACACACACACACACACAACTCAGAGACTAATAGAATCAGATCACTGAGAAGTTGCAAGAACAAACCCAAAACCTAAACGTGCTTCTTAATGACAGGATGAGAAAAGTTCAGAAAAAATGTACAAAAGATGTCAAACAGTTTTGTTTTTTTTTCAGTGAAGCATTAAAACATGTCAGCCTTTTTTAAATCCTCCATCTGCAGCTCCAACCAGAGAAGAGCTAAACACAGAAGCACTGGCCCAGGAGACCTTTCTATGAGAAAGAAAAAACTACGACTAAACAAAGTTGAAACCTAAATTCTCCATCAGTGGATCCATTCAGAGAAGAGAGAAAACTGGACACATTAAAGCTCAGCATCAAAAGCTCCCGTTACTCCTCCAGGAAACTGAGCCTGGAGTACTTTCTGTCAGGAAGGAAACCAACGGGAACACAAAGGGGATGGTTACAATAATTATTAAGATGGTCTTATCACAGAGCGAGACGTTAGAAAAACTACAGGAAGATAGAAAGTTTGCTATATGGTTAGAATAAAACACTTTTCAGTTTCTCCATTCTAATATGGGAGGATGTGGTTAAAAATGAGCAAGAATCCAGGAGAGACATAACTGACACTAAATATCAATATTTATGAACCTGATTCAGACATTGTTTCTCCAGATCACGGGTATGGTTTTGGTTGAGTTGAAGTTTTTGCGTCCCTCCGTTCTGCAGGTCCTCGGCGTCCATCTCAACAAATGGACTCTGGACTGGCGGCTGGGCCTGGCCTGCCTCGTCATGTACGCCATCTTCCTCTGCTTCTCCGTCCTCATCGAGTTCAACGTCTTCTTCTTCGTCAACCTCCCCATGTGCAGAGACATCCACTGACCCCCGCCCTCCCTCTGCCCCTTCCTCCTCATCCTCCTCTTCGTCATCGTCCGTTGGCTTGCGGAGGGAGAGAAACTCAACTTGGCTTCCGGTTTGTCGACGCCTCGGAAACGAGTCCGACCTTTTCTTTGTTTAGGAAACCACAGCTTCGTTTGAAACGTCTTGAGGAAGACGCAGAAGGTTTGGGTTTGCTTCTGGAACCGGATTGGATGGCCAAAGATGGCGCCCCGCCGGCAGAGATTGTTGCCAGACATGAATCAAACAGTTTTGGCTGAACTGAACAGCATCTTGGCGGACAGTTAGGCGAGCAGCTCCTGTTACGTAAGAGAGGAATCAGCGATTTTTAGCATTTTTACAAGTTTGGGTTTAAGCACAAAATTAAGGTATTTTTAAGTGGAATAGAGATTTCTCTGTATATATTTGAGGATTACATAGGTACTTGTTTTAGCTGTTAAAACTGAGTCTTTTCTGCACAACCGAGGGACCCGAAGAAGCATTTAAGTGATATTTGGTGTTGCTTCAACATGTCCTCCGTTCCGTTGCATGCTGTTCGCCACAGCGGTCGCTTCGCACTCACAGAGAGAATCTTCATGTCTAACACTTTTAATATATAGGCTGTTTTCTTCCATGTCCAAGTAGATGTGGTTTTACCAAACCGACGAATGAAAGGGACCTACTCCAGCACTGTCACTTTAACGTAGAGAGATATATTTCTGTAAGAGCGGTCTGCGGTTTTCTGGAAGTGTGTACCTGCTGCCTGTAGACCTCCTGTTAGTCTTTTAGTTGTTGTTTAAAACCAAAAAGTATTTTAGGGTAAGGGTCATAGATTGAGCGTGTGTGTGTGTGTGTGTGTGTGGATGCCACTGCTTCTGGGAAGACATCATCATGATTTATTTATGAATTAACTTATTCAAAGATCATGTCTGAACAGCAGTGTCAGTGCTCATGGTGAACTCTGCGATGCGGCACACCTAATATTTAATCTAACTACTGATGTTGTTTTTACAGATCTTTATAATTTATAAGTTTTGTACAGTTTAGTTCAAACACATGAGACATCGCGGAGCATACTCCTCCTCCTCGCATTAAATTAGTGATGAACTGTGGCCGTAAAAGATTGGTTTGAGGACAACAGGAAGTGATGGCATGCCAGCATTTGAGCTTTTACAGCGTATTATTCCTCTGCCGTCTCTTATATTTCAGACTTTAATGCTAGAGGCAGGAGTTAAGATGCATTAATGTTATATCAGCTTTAGGGTTTTTCTTATTTATTTTAACATTTTTTGATTCTCTGTTTCTCAGGGTGGAATAATGAGAGAACATTCAATTGCAATTATTTTTAAAAAGCAAAACCTGCAGTAATTTGAATATATTGTAGATTTTCACCAGTAATATTTAAACAAATATCTGCACAACTTTAGCTGAAAGGATGTGATATTCTGTGTCTCGTAATGCATCAAACTAAACTGCAGTGGAAACACATTTTCGCATCTCGAGTCACATGATCAACAACCGGATGTTTCCATTGATACAAACCATGAAAAAGACGACAGGAAGTAGTTGGAGGATCATGGCGTTTAGGTTATATTCATGTTGACTTATTGCAATTATTCACTTGTGATCTTATTTGCTTTTCTTATTCAATGAAAACAACAATTGCGAAATTGCGTCTTTTTTGTCGTTAGCAGAATATTGACAAATTTTTTGAGGCAAACAGGAAACCAAAAAAATAATTAAAAAACTACAATAGTTATTTGAATCTGAGAAAATAGGCTGAGTAACAATTTTCTCAACTAAATCTACAGTTTTCTATAATGTCATTTCACTCTCGTTGTTTTGGGTATTGTGTTAAGCTTTTATGCTGCCAAAGAGAAAACCAGATGCCGCCATTCAGCAGTCATTCAACATGGTTATTTTCAAATTAAATTAACCTGAAGATCTAGGCTGATGTATGTATATATTTGAGTCAGAGTGCATTTGTACATTTATCTATGTTGTCTTCAAAATTCCCTGCAGTTTTTTGTCGTATAATTATGCCACCCTAGAGAAAATCAAATAAATCGCCAAATGCCTAAAATGATACATTTATGCCCATGATGAAAACTGTTTAGAGAAAAATTAAAGATAATTTTTTACAGTATTACTTCTGTTTCCGCATGTGTTTAAACTAAATATGGAAGTATTTGTTATTTATTTTTATGAGATTCAAACCGGAAGCATCTGATGGATGTGCAGCTGCTCTCCCAGTACCCACCAGAGGGCGCCGCTGAGCATCTTTACACATCCGCGAAAGCAGCTGTGTTGGGTTTATTTTCCAACACAGACTAACAGATGCTTTTTTGCATGCCTCTATAACTATTAAAGTTACTTTGTGTGATTTTAACGCATTTCTAACACCAAGAAGACACTGACTGCTTGGGTTATGCTGTACATATCAGGGGGGGAGTTGCGACTTTAAATTCTGGAAACAGATTTCTTTAGAACATAGATCTGCAGACGTTAGATCTGTTTATTATTGTTGTCAAAAGTCTTTTGGATAGTTTGTAAAAGATCCATTTTTGTTGACCTCTGGGAAGAACCAGAAGGAGAAGAAAATGCTCTCGCAATAAACTGACTTACATAAACTAGAAGTCTCCAGTTTGACTTAATGCTTGATTTCTTCTTATCCTCCTTGTTGTTTTTTTGTTTTCTTTTTTTGTACCTTCTCAGACATCCTGTTGCTAAGCAGAAAATGGATAAAAGTATCTAAATATTGTCGGAGTAGAAGAATGACTGTTACCTCTGAATCAGAGTTCATCTCCATACAGGATTATTGTGATGGCAGAATGGAGCAGAACGGATCGATGAGTTAAGGTTAAGGAAACGTTCCTGTTTTACTGCATTATAGCTGAAGAAAGAAGTAAGTAAAACGGGTAACACTTTATT